TTTACTGGGAAGATAATTCCCAGCTGGGGCTGAGGGGTGATTCCCAGTGTTTCCTCTAGGTTTCAGTAAAGGACTTTTTTTTTTTTTTTTTTAACATCCCAGTGAATGACAGGCATGAGTGCGACTGAGAATAAGAAGTGGTTTTAAACAATAGTCTGAGCGGAGCTGCTGCCTTCAGATCAAAGCCACTGCCTCTAATTTCTGTTCCCTTCACTGAGCTGGGGAGTTGGGGAACAGGTCTGAGGAACCTTGTCTCTCTGCAGTACAACTCAATGCAATTCAATGAGCTTGTACTGACCATCTCATGTGTCGGAACTGGTGTGCAGTAGAGGCATCACTCATGCAGGGAAGGTTGGGCATCAACATGGACAGGACAAGAAAATAGGGAAGAGCCTGTGTCCTCAGTTGACTTTTGGGACTGAATCTCAATGCTGGGTACATCCAATTCATTACAATTTATGTAAAACTGCTTTCTGATCCAGAAAGTGTCCGGGATTCTTCTGGCTTGGCTTTGGTTCCATTCTGAACAACTCAGTCATTAAAATGAGCCCAGGGGACTTCCCTGTGAGTCCAGTGGTTCAGATGCTGTGCTTCCACTGCAGGGAGCGTGGGTTCAATCCCTGGTCGGGGAAATAAGATCCCTCACGCCAAACAGCACGGTCAAAAAACATAAAAAAATAAAATGAGCCCTGGCTGTTGGCAGAGCGTACAGCCGACCCTCAGGCTCAGCGCCCCCTCAGCGGGCAGACAGGTGCTCTGCAGTCCCTGCACAAGCCGTCCATTGGAGATGGAGGGGGCAGGCCAGGAGGCGGGGGGAGAGAGAAGGAAAGAGAGAACAGGGTCCTTCAACAGGCAAATTGCCATGGACTTCTTGGAAGAAGTGGAGACAGACTCTCAGTAGAATACAAATTCAGAAATCCTGGGAACTTGAAGAAGGAAATAGAAGAAAGCAAAGAGCATCAGTCATAGAGGCAGCTCAAATTCTAGCTCTGAGCATCACTGCTCTGAGTTCCCATTTCTGAGCAGTAAAATTAAAGTAAGGCCACCTATCCCAAAGGGATTTGTTAGAATCAAATGGGATAAAGTATAAGAAAGTACTTTGTAAGTCTAATAAAACTGTACAAATATTCAAGGCCTTGGAGAAAGGGCACAGGGCCAAACCTGATGGGCTGCAGGAGGATTTCCTGCTAAGTACAAATGTGATGATAAAAGTCCAGAGGTCAGAGCAAATAACAAGCTGACCAGGAGTTAGAAGATGATTAATTTGTTTTACAAGAGGAAGGACACAGACAAGGAATATAATACACAGGGAATATAACTCCTGAGGCAGGCAAACTTCCAATCATAACTGTGCCACTCAGATGTCTGGGAATACTATATCCAGAGTTGGCCTTCATGGCCAAATAGAAATGTGATGCCTTCAAATGCTAAAGACTTCAGTTATTCATCACAATGAAGGAATTCAGGAGAAGAGACAATAATTGTCTTATTACTGGGACCAAGGAAGATGGAAGCTTCGGAGCCTCATCACGGACCTCATCATGGGAAAGCGTAGATCGTGATTTGTTGGTCGTTTACTGCCCTGTGCAAGCTCAGAACAAAATTAGCCTATTTAACTGTCACCAAAAGTCCTGCAAGAAGTCATTCTTCAGAGGAAGTAACGAAAGTTCAAAGAAGCAAAGTAATTACTCAGGATCACACGGCTAGGAAGTGGCAGAGCCAGGATGTAAACCAGGGTGCAACGTGGTCTTAAAAACAAATTATAAAGGCCAGGATAGAACAAAGTGAGTTTCTGAGAGTAAAAGTCAGCCACACCTTAGAGATAATTTCAGGAAAGATATAATATGACCTGTGCATTACAGCCTTAGTTTAAGGGGCAGGTGTGTCTACTCTGAATTTTAAAGGGATGAGAGCTGGGTTTATTTTTGTGCTGGGATTAAGCAACCTATCTCCCCAGGCTTTGTGAAAGGGCCTCTGGAAGGGGGACTTCATACATCTGTTCAGAAGCTTAGGAGGAAGCCGCTGACCTTGAATGTCCTACACCGGGGAGCTGAAGGCCACGGCCTCCCTGGGCCACAGTGACTCTGTTTGGGTTCACTGCTTCCCTTCAAAGTCCAGAGCACCAGAGAGGTCAGCTGGTGGTAGGCACCAGAGCTGCCAAAGTGAGGAAGCGGGTGTCCCGGGGCACAGGCTCAGGACCCTGCCTGATGTGCCGTCCCTGGTGCCAGGCACCCTGATCCCCCCAAGGAGGCTGACTCTCTCCCTGGCCTGGCTGCATCTGTTCTTGGGTACAGCACACTCTCAAGGCTGAGAAACAGAGTTGGTTCACAGTCTGAAGAGAAGGGCCATGCAGAAGGAGTTGGAAAGATTTACTTGTTTTAAGAAAATGGATTTTAAAACCATTTTGGAGATAAAATAATAACAGTAATAATGAAAGCAACTAAAATTATTAAACACCTGCTATGTAGAAGCACTGATGTGTAATATGTTAGCTATTATTATTATCTTATTTAACTGAAAACAGCCTTCTAAGGCAAGTCTTCTCATTCTCTCTTTATGTGCATGACGACATGGGTTCAAAGATTTTGAGTAATTTGCCCATGGTTGAACAGATAGTGTTTTTTTGTTTTTTTTGCGGTACGCGGGCCTCTCACTGCTGTGGCCTCCCCCGTTGCGGAGCACAGGCTCCGGATGTGCAGGTTCAGCGGCCATGGCTCACGGGCCCAGTCGCTCCGCGGCATGTGGGATCCTCCCGGACCGTGTCCCCTGCATCGGCAGGCGGACTCTCAACCACTGCGCCACCAGGGAAGCCCCAGATAGTGTTTTTTGAAACCTGGCTTGGTTCTTTCCAAAGCCCTTCTTTCCCCATATCATCTGTTTTACCTGGATTAAGAGACTAGAGAAGAGGCAGTGTTTGAGAGGAGACACTACTGGGCAGCTTTTCTGCAAGGTGAGGCTCTAGTCAGCGATCAGATCCCTAAACCTGTCTCAGGGCTTGAAGGACCCTTGAAGGGGGCTTCACTACATTACATTACACTTGGACACCCATCCACTGCCAAGCTAAATCAATAGTGAGAACTCTCCAGCCCCAAAGGAGCCCTTTCCATGTGTGAAGAGCACGGACTCTTAGAAAGTCTTTTATTTTACTGAACTGAATTCCGCCTCCCTCTTTTACTCCCACCCATGAGTATTCTCTCTGTCCCATGGAGAGACAATGGGTCAATCAGATCCCAATTCCCATCAGCTGGGAAGGTTGGTTAATGGAGGTGCTGACCCTTGTCCCCTCTCGAGCGTGTTGTAAGCAGGAACATGGGACACAGAACCAGCTTAAACTGGGGTTTGAATTGTGGTTCTGCCGCTTACTGGTGGTAGGACCTCAGACAAGTCACTTAAGCCCTCTGATCCTCATTTTTCTCATCTGCAAAACGGGGATCACAAAATTTGCTACGCAGGGCTGTTGTATTTAAGGATAGTATATCTATAGCAACGATACATAGTAAACAATAAATAGAAGCTAATGTTAACATAAGAACACAGCTTTGGAGTCAGAGCGACCTAAATTCCAACCTAGCCATGTGACACATACTAACCATGTGACCTTGGGCAATGTAATTTCCCTGAGATTCCATGTCTCCATCTCTAAAGCGAATGTTGTAAAAGCACCTACCATGAAGGGTTGTTGTGAAGCTTAAATGAGATTTACCATAGGGCCTGGCCCGAAGGCTGGGCTTCAGACGCTATGGCTTTAATAACAATATTATTATATTAGTAATAATTGTGATTATCACTTAGATTCCAGATATGTGTTTCTATGATCCAAAATCTTTGCCTCAGTCAGTGTAGACAATTTAACTCACTATGTGGAATCAGGCACCTAATAGGACAACCAAATAAACCAACACTGAGATGAAAACAGCATTGTCGCTGGAGGTCTCTGCTCAAAGCCATAGCCTAAGGTTCCCTCCCTGGTTCTTTAATGGACCCCTAACAAAGAAAGAACAGAATCACTGAGCACCCATTTTATCTACACCACCCACTTTTGCCCTAAGGTATCACCTTTCAGCTCCACAGTTGGTAGTTTAAAAAAAGAAAACCAGAGTGTTGGATTAGGAAGAATGCGCCCAAGTTACACAGCACAGTTATAGTTTTAAAAATTCAGACTGATACGTGACAACTTAGAGTTGTGGCAGAACTCATTAGCTCTTACATTTTATAACATCCTGCAGTTTACAAAGTGATTTTACTCACACGAACAGCTACCGTCCTCCCAGCAATAGTGAAACAGATGGGACTATCATGCCTGTTTTATAGAGAGGATATTGAAGTTCAGAGAGCCTGCACGGTTTTCTCAGATCACACAGCTTTGAAGAGGCAAGACAGAACTAGAACTCTGGCCTCCTGCATCCGGTTTACAGCCTTCTCCAGCCCCTACTATAGCACATTCCCAGTATAATCTCTTCCACAGCACTACTCGTTACGAAATCCACCCAGGTAAGTCTCTCACTGGGATCTGGTATCTAAAAGTCTGGAGTCCACCCTCTCCCTAGTTGACATCACAGGGTCCTGCATTCTGCTTCATCCTCCTGAATTCGACTGTCCCCCCTTTCAGTCCTGACACACGACTTTGTGACAACACAGCCATCTCTGGGACTGGCCCAGGGAGTAGTGCCAGGTGATGTGATGGAGACTGTGATCCAGGTGACAAATGGGGCTGAGTGACGGGCAAGCCTATATTTGGTGTCCCACCTTCAATGACCCTTGCCTGTGTCAGGCAACGCTGATAAACAAATGGCCCACCCCTTGGTATCTTGCCTGCGTAAACTCGCATTCCAGGCCTGGCTAGGGGAGTGTTGAGACACAGGAATTCCAAAGCAATGCAGGAGGCTGAGAAGGTTAGATATGTAAGCCAGGACCTACGTGTGCTTTCAAATCATAGTGACTTAATTAGCAGATCGGTGCTATTTGAGTAAACTGAAATAAAGTGAAGAACAATGACTTACCTTTGAACAGCTTCTCAGTGCTGCTTTGAATTCCATCATCTTTCCATGACCTTCACAGTGATCCTGTGAGGAAAGTGCAGGACACAATATTATCGTCATTTTTGACCCACATTAAGGCCGCAAGGTCAAGATTAGAACGTGTGTCTTCCAATTCAGGATGCTTTACAACACACGCTGCCTTTTGGCCTTTGAGCATCTGAAGAAGAAATCAGAGACGTCGTCTGTGTTAGGCCCCCATAGCTACATTTCCATCTTTAGAAGTGGAACTGAGCACCTGTTTAATCGAATGCTTATGGATTTCTATTTTGAGTTTCAAGTCCTGATAAATGTACGTCAGATATTTATGATCACTTGATAACAACCTGTCATGTGTGGACAATTGCTGAATACACACACACACACACACACACACACACACACCCCTAAGAAGCATATCTCTTTCCCATTAACTTGCAGGATATGCCAATGAAATCTCCATTGAAGATGTGAAATGAGAAATTCGACCTGGGGTTGTTTTCATTGAAAATTTTCACATCATTAATTTCACAAGTGTCACTGTCACATTCCTGGATATATACTGCCTTTCTCCTCTATTTTATATTATGGTGAAACTCAGGATCAAAATGAACACGAAGAAAATTATGATTCTACCCTTTTCCAAAAAAACATACCATCTTTAGTCAGAGAAGGGTAGATCTTGGAAAAAGAAGTTGGGTAAAAAATTACCCCCAAATGTCTACTTTTTATGCCTCATCTTGTTTGTACATGAGATGGCAATCTTGAAAACCTATTCTGCCCCTGAAAGTAAAAAATAAACAATTTGGGCTCTTTTAGGGCATATTAAGTTCTCCATGCCTTTCTGTGTGCTCTTTTCTCTGCCTGAAATATCCTTTTCCCTTTTCTCTATCTGGTGAACTCTTATTCACCCTTCAAAACCCCATTTAGATGTGATGTTTTCTGTGATCCTCCAACAACTCACTGCTTTCCTCCCCAATCTAAATGTCGGTAGCCATGCCCTCCTTTGAGTTTGCATAGCACTTCTCATAAGCCTCTTTTCTGGTACAGAGTATTCTGGTTCCTGCCTTTCTCACTAGAATGTAGGCTTCTCAAGGCTAGGGGACAGGACACAAATTACCCATTTTTATAAGCTTTCCTCTCCTTCATTCCTCACCGAGTAATTACTGCAGTGTCTGACACATGATAGGTAGGTAGTAAATGCATGGTGATTAAATGAATAAATGAATGAATGAATGCAGACTTGATCCCAAACTTTTCAATTCAAAATCCATTACTCTCCCCATTAAACTAAGCAATCTGAACTATAGAAATAGTAGCACTAAATGTTTCCTTTTAAAAAACTTATTTTCTAAGATTTTACTGAATAAAAAGAAGAACCTGCTTCTCTGAGAAGGGTAGGATGTTCCTGGCTAACCTAACCTGCTTTTGGAAGCAGGAAAATCTCCTTGCAGGACATTTAGGTGGAGAGTTTCCCTTTGGTCCTAGTATCGGTTTCCATGGTCTGTTTGCTATTTACCTTCTGTTTCTTAGCAAAACCTGTCTTTCTTACGAGGCTGGGCGACACAATCCAGACCAGGTGACCCAGGAGGCTTAGTGTTAATTGCCAACTATTATAAGAAGGTGACTAGCTTCCCAGAAGGGAAAGAGAAGGTCAGAGGCAGCCACTTGGAATTGTCTGATAGTGCTTGGTGTCAATGACAAGATGAACACCAGGCTTCTTAGAAACCGAAGGATCTCAGAGAAAATTCAGCCCCCCTGGGACTGGCAGGATTTCAGATTTCACTGAGTACTGATGACTTATTTTAGTTCCGCTCTGGGGAAACTGAAAACTGGATTCATACTTACAGACAGACACAGAGGAAAGAGAAAAAAGTTTCTTGATGTCCCTCCTTGCCTAGTATCGCTCACACAGAATTCTCTAGTGGGGAGACAAGGATGGCCTGGGGCTGGCTATCAGCAGCTTCTGGTAGCAGAGGGTGCTTGAAGGGTGTGCAAGGACCTGCAGGAGCATCACCTGTCCCTGTGAGCTCTGACGAGTACCTTCCTGCACATCCTCTGAACTCCACTGTGAAGCAACAAGGAAAAGAATGACCCTCTTCATATCATAGGTGGGAAAACAGAGGTAAATAGAAGCTATGAAGTTCATCTCGATGCACATGGCAAGTTGCTGGTAGCCCCGAAAGCAGGAGGAGGTTTCCAAACCACTGATCTAGTGCAGTGCCAACATAGCTCATTGCCTGGGCAATGATATTTCTTAAAAAGGAATGAATGGATAGATGAAATAAATCTGAATAGAGTTTTTATATATTATGTATTTTTATCAGCAAGATGAGCCAAGGCTTTGCTAACCGAAGGGTGGTGCCCTCCTAGCAGCAACAGCCCTGCCTGGAGTCTTAGAAGTGCAGAATTTCCTGCCTCTCCCCAGATCTACCAAACCAGAATCTGCATCTTAACAAGACCCAAGGTGACCCAAGAAGCACTGAGCTAGATAAGAATACCATTTTCACAGGTTATTCGCACTTCTGATGGAATAATTTTTAAAACCCTAGGTGGAAGAAAATAACAATACTGAATATTTGCATACAATTTCAGATACACAAAACTAGCTTATCCATTCCTTCTAAGGACCCTGTGAGGTACACAGGAGCTGGGGCTATTGAAATTTAACAGAAGAGGAAACTGAGTCCCCAAGTGGTAAAGTGACTTGCTCAGAGCAAGCTCTGAGCGTCTGAGCTTATCCAGTGACTTACACACAATAACCATTTGCTGAAGGAATGAATGAACCACCAACAAACTGGGGCTGGATCCTGGTCTTCAGACCACAGCACTACTAGGGATTGGTTCACTCTTTTTTTTTTTTTTTTAATTTTTATTGGAGTATAGTTGATTTACAATTTTGTGTTACTTTCTGCTGTACAGCAAAGTGAATCAGTTATACATATACATATATCCACTCTTGTTTAGATTCTTTTCCCATATAGGCCATTACAGAGTATTGAGTAGAGTTTCCTATGCTATACAGTAGGTCCTTATTAGTTACCTATTTTATATATATTATTGTGTATATGTCGATTGGGATTGGCTCACTCTGGAGGTTGCCTAAATTTAGGGTATTTGCTTTATGTCCTGTTAGACTTGACCTTGACCAGAGAGTCTTCAAGATGCCAAATTGGGGCGGAGGAGCAAAATGCGGAGCCTGCGGAAAGACCGTCTACCATGCGGAAGAAATCCAGTGCAACGGAAGGAGTTTCCACAAGACCTGTTTCCACTGCAGTGAGTTGGGTGAATGCCATGACGGCCCCTCAGCACTTCGAAGTTCACACTTAGTCACAGATACTGTGTATCAGTAGTTCTCAAAGTATGGTCTGGGGACCAGCAACATCAGCATCCCCTGGGAACTTGTTAGGAATATCACTTTGGGGCCCCACCTACAGAAAGGATGGCGCTCTCCTGAGCACCCCCTCTCCAACCACTTGTCCAGCTCAGAGGCCATTTCCCTGAAGCTCAAAGTCAGAACAAGCTCCCAGTGGTGAAAACTTGACCCAGTGGCGACATTTACAAAGTGTGACTTGACAGAGTAAGAAAGCCATCACTTATCTGCAGCCAGGATGGACTTGGCTTGATGTGCTGTCCCCACAGGCCAGCAGTCACCGAAGCCAGCTGCAACTGGTCTTTCCTAAGAAAGAACCTGTGTCAGGCTGGGGGGCAACAGATGACAATTCTGGAAGCGTCGGAAAGGGAAGCGTTTGGGGCACCATCAACTTGACAAGGGGAATCTTTACCGTCCCCTGCTGGACACAGTTTCACAAATGTCAAAACCAGGGGGGCATTTAAAACCCCGTGGTCCACCTGGGAGTCAGGCTCTACCCAACTCATGTGACTTTGGACAAGTCATTTCTCATCTCTAAGCTGGGTCATTGGCATCTACAGCAGAGCCAGGAGCAGAGTCTGTGCCTTCAGATTCCCAGTCCAGTCTCTTCAACACGACTGCCTTCTAGAGTTTCCTAGCAGCTTGGTCCTATTTTAGGAGAGCAGTTCTGTCTTGGCCACTTGCCTTCTTTGCTCCCCTCCAGCAGGTCTGGCTTAAGGGTTAGCTTTACTGGACATTTCGCAGACGCGCGCTCCCCAACCCTTCGTGACCCATCCGCCCCCATGTCTCAGCCCAGCAGCCGCAAGGCATCACGTTGCCTCAAGCTGCTTCAAACAGAACTTCAAGGGTTGGGCTCCATCTGTTAGGGCATGGAGACACTTCATCCTCCAGAAATAGTAGCGCTTTCTCTGCTGCAGGAGTTTCCATTATCCCTTACCTCCCACAACAAACATAACTGTCACCAAGCAATAGGGGGAACCTGCTGTGAGTGATTGGGTGTGTGGATTTACTAATGTTTTAGGTTTTAATGATGCGTACGTAATTCTTTTTAAGCCATCATACACATTCATCAGGTTCACCACTATCATCACAATGATCCAGAGTCACTGCTCAAGAGAGTTCATTCCATAACCCTCTGGCTTTTGTCCAAATATAGCTAGTGTTCTTTAAAAAGAGTGGGGGAAAGGAATATTGGTAAGAACACTGGAGTTGGAGTGAAAATGACTAGGGTTTGAGTATGGGCTCTACCATGCACTTTAACTGGGTGACCTTGGGTAAGTCACCATTGTGAGCCTCAATTTCCCCATTTATAAAATAGAGATGGTTATACCTGCCACACAAGTTGTTGTAAGAAGAAAGCTGGGTTTCTTCATCTGAGATCCAATTTTCTAGGCCTTTATTCTCCTTTCATCAGCTTGGATGTCTGAGTGGGTACAGGCAACGGTGGGGATGCTTTCCATGGCGAGGGGTGTCTTGTTTTCCCAGGCAGCAGGAGGATGCCCTGTTTAACGGAGCCATGGAAGAACGATGTGAGCATTTGCTGGTGCATCCCTTTCAACCCCTGGATATTCTCCTTAAAACCTGTGGGTGGGATGGGGGTCTGAGCAGTACAGGTTTCTGCAGTGGTGGACAGAAGGATCCTGGAGAGGAGCGTGATTTTCTGTAGTATCGTCACAACAGTGGTCTGTCCACAGGTCAACCTGTAGTTGCTGGAAATAGAGTTCAGAGAGGCAGAGTCTACCTTAGTTTGTCTCCTGGCCAGTGTTCTCCAAACTTCTATACAAATCTTAACCCCCCTACCAGTGCCGTCCAAAAGATATATAATGCAAACCACATATGGAAACTTAAATTTTCTAGTAAACTTATTTTTTTAAATGTGAAAAGGAACAGGTGAAATTAATTTTAAAACATTTAACCCAATATATCAAAAAATTGTAATTTCAACATGTCACCAATATACACATTATAACATCATGTGGCGGGTGAGTGGCTACGGTATTACACAGCACAGCTCTGCTGTGCCTGTGTGTGTGAAAGCTAGTCAGAAGCCAGGGAGTGGCTATAGAATTGGCCAGGACAAGACAAGGTATAGGCAGTCCTGGAATGATGGGAATGAGCACTGGAGTAGAAGTCAAAGGATCTGAGGCCAGTCATGGCTCTGCAATTTACCACTGTATAATCGTGGACAAGTCACTGATCTTCATTCACACATGCATGCATGCATTCATTCATTCATTCATTCACTCAACAAATGTTTACGGAGGACTAACTCTGGGCTAGGCTCTGTGCTACATTCTGGGGATATTAAAACTGTTTTGCCCTCAAAGAACTCAGAGTATAGAACATAAATGAATAGTCAACAAGTTGTTCTGAAAAAAAAAACCCAAAGAAAACCAAGTTGTTCTGGAGATTAGTAACTGACAGCTACAGGAAGGGCAGAGACAGGTATACCTTACATGCTCAAATATAAGGCAAATTCCCCCCAAAATTATTCCTCATAAAAAGGGTTTGCCTTGGCTTCAGAGTCTTATAAAGTCTCTCATGCTACAGGACAGTCTCTCAATTACTCCATTTATTTAATCTGTTTTTTAATAGAAATTCTTACAAACAATATTGACATAATTATTTAATGAACTCCCATACGCCTGTTTCCCCAGCCACATAACCATCAACCTCTGGCCAATCCTACCTCATCTACAACCTTATCTTCTTCTCCCACTCTTGTATTCAATAACACTTTTAAAAAAAAAAAAAAAAAATAACCACTTGAGAAAGGCATATTAGCCTGAAACAACCTCATTCAAAGCTGGATTGCTTATAGAGGTCACTTGATGGAACTGTTTTTTTAAAAAGGAGGCAAATAAATTGAATGCCCATATATTATTATTCCTGTGGATATATGACCTCACTATTACAAGCACTAAGTAGCACCCTAAACAACCTTTAAGGATCATCATTACAAAGCGATATAACAAGGTATTAGGCTGTGGAGATCCTACATACTTTTTAATGCTGCCCTAATATTATTGCTAATAGGTACTTCTTGCTGAGATACAATTTCCAGGTGACAGCCCCCTTCTCAGGTAAACAGGTCTGCCTCTAAAAGACACAGACAGAAGTAGGGATGAGCTGCTCTGGAGAGCTGAGTCAGCTGCCTCAGAAAGACACTGTTGAGAAGGGAGATGCTGATGTTGAAGATGCAGAGGAATAATTTGGATACAATTGTTTCCTGAATTTGTGTCAGATTAGAAAAAAGTAACATCTCCAAATCCATATATTGTTGATCTATATTATTAAATTAAATGTTACAAGCAGGTATTTGACACTTTCATTTATATCCTTAAACGTTTATTTAATTCAAGTTGGCAAAAATTTTTCTATTAATAGAAAAATCTAATTAATAGAAGATTTTCTATTAATCTTCTCTTTGGAAAAATAGGGGATTGTCTTACATACTATGTATAATGTATATACACAACATGTGTATAATAACTATACTAGGGTAAAGTATGGGGGATACTTTACATTAGGTGATATACAGTAACCAAGGGGCTTGAGCCAATATAAGCCTAACAGCAGGTCTTCATTGCCTCCCCTGCTTCCAGAAGTGGATCAAAAGAAGTCTCAGCCGTAATTACCTCCTTGAATATCAAAGTGCTTTTCAAAATCCATTTTAAGTAGAGAAACTGCGCAATGCTGATTCTGATATGATTAAGAAAAAAATAAGTTCCTCCCCTGCCTCAGCCCCTCACCCCCTACTCACCCACACACAAATACACTCACACTTCCCGATGTCATTTGTGGTGAGACACTCAGGAGTGCATGTTGTCCCCATTCAGGGACAATATTCTTAGCTGGTCCAAGACCACACACCAGGTTCCAGTCCTGGCCTCCACCTCTTTCTAGCTGGGTACCACTGAAAACATTACTTCCCTTCTCTGTGCTCCAATTTCCTCATCTGTGAAACAGGACTGCCTTGGAATCTACGACTCAGGACAGATGCTCTGGTCAGGAATCAAAGTTGTGTTCTTGGCTGGTGGGGGGGGCCCTTGTGCTGAGTCCCTTGGCCCCAGTCAGGGTACTGGGGGTGCAGGGAAGGCGGGGAGGAATCTCAACGCTAACCCCCGACCATCCTTTCCTCAACAGTGGCCTGCAGGAAGGCTCTGGACAGCACCACAGTGGCAGCTCACGAGTCAGAGATCTACTGTAAGGTCTGCTACGGGCGCAAGTACGGCCCCAAGGGGATCGGGTATGGACAAGGTGCCGGCTGCCTCAGCACGGACACGGGTGAACACCTGGGCCTCCAGTTCCAACAGTGAGTTACTGCCCCGCTTCTCCCAGCCCGTAGAGCCCCAGCTTTCAGGACAGTTCATTCTGTTCCCATGGCAACGTTTTCTGGAAGTGGGAGAATGGACTCTATTGCTGACTTGCCGACAATAGGAATACTCAGTCTGACCAAGTTCTAACAATGTGTCATCTCTCCGAAGACTCTCTTTAAATTATCTGCCTTTCAAAAGGGCAATTACTTTTACACCATGGCTCTTGGTTTGCATGTCAAGAGAAAACCCAGAATGTACAGATGTTCTATTGTTTGACCTTCGCAAAACTGCATGGAGTCTCTTTTCTTCCTCGTTGAGCATTTTTTGTGTAAATCACATAAATATGGCAGGGACGCAATGGCCATCCTCTGTGTGCCTGTCACTGAAAGATTTCTTCCCTTGGGTTGTAAGATAACTAACGTCTGCATCGCAGTGGGGAGTGGCTCTGTGGGGATGGGCTGTGCCTCAGAAGTAGACAATTACAACTTTCTGTAGGTCTCCCGTGCTGCCTGTTGCCAGTACAACGTTGAGGTTTCCCCAACATTATCCTAGGGAAGCCAGGATTTCACACTGTGCCACCTCCATCTATCAGTCTGCTCTACATGATGATCATGCTGACCTCCAGCCCAAAACTGAATATATACACTGACAGTCACTGGCCTGCAGCTGCTGTCTGGCCAGCTGGTACCCGGGCTCAGCTCTGTGGCGGGACTGGCAGAAAGGCCCAGCCCAACTGAGGCAGTGTCCCCCAGAGAATAGCGAGAGCATCTGAAGAGTCAAGAGTCATCTGGTCCCTTCCAAAGAGAGTAGCCCATGGTAGAGCCTGGAAAACTGCAGGGATGTGTGACTAGTCATATAAATTTTTCTCACTACTCAAGCCCAACCGGAGATGCTATTTTAAAAAGAAAGATGATACCAGCTGCATTCTCTGTCTCACATTACTCAAAGCTCACTCTTCTACGTTAGGGCTTTCCTGTGGTGCTGCACAGCCAGGAAGAGTCTGGAGTCCTGGGTTTCATCCCAGCTCCACCAGTTATGAGCTGCTAACCTTGGGCACTTACCCCTCTGGCCCATGCTCTCCTCCAGCTAGCCCTGCCTCCTTTAGAGGGTTATGGTGAGGCTCAAACGATAAACGTACAAGGAAACGCCAAAAGATATGGAATCACAGGGTTATTACTGTGCCTCTCTCTTAGACTTTGCTCTCAAGAGGACAGGGGACCTTTGGATGCAGGGTGACAATTTGAACTGTGATAAGCATCAGCTCATTGGACTATGGTTTGTTTAGTATCAACTGTCAAGATCCCATCTTGCCCTGTAATATTTTTACTCATTTTGGAAAGCAGACCCGTGGGTTTCAAGGTGGTATAGAAAACCCTAAACGAACAATCACAGCAGTATAACAAGACAAGGGTAATTATACAAGCTAACATACGTGGAACACTTGTGAAGTGCTTTACAACAGAAAGGAAAGAGGTAAGTGAATTCTGGCTAACATTCCTCAGCCCTTACAACAGGCCAGGGAGGCACTGTTCTAAGTGCTTTACTCATGTGGCCTCATTTAACCTTCTCAACAACCCTGTGAGGAAGGTACTATGACTATCCCCACTTTCCAGATGAGGCATCTAAGGCACAGAGAAGTTAAGTAACTTGCTCAAAGTCACACAGCTAGTACTGTTTGCCAAGGGAAGTCTATAGGTTTCATTCATTTGTCAATTTCCACCAGGTCCCCAAAGCCGGCACGCTCTGCCACCACCAGCAACCCTTCCAAGTTCACTTCGAAGTTCGGAGAGTCGGAGAAGTGCCCTCGATGCAGAAAGTCAGTCTATGCTGCTGAGAAGGTGATGGGAGGTGGCAAGGTAAGGACTTCTATGTGAGTCAGATGGGATGCCGGGAGGAATGAGAGAAGAAAGTAGGAACTGAGGGCGGGTGGAGGCCAGACCCTCCTTAGCTCCCAGGAACCACTTAGGAGCCACCCATCCTTACCCACTTTCCTGGGCTGTGACTGTCACCCTGCAGTGCCCTAGGAAACTGGAACTGGTGGATGGAATTCGATGCAATAAGTGTTAACCCACTAGGGGGAGGCACCCAGCTAGGAGCTCTGGAGAAACAAAGGCACACAGGCTCCCCTATCCTGTGTCCACAATCCTTCCAGAAAAGTGTCAGCCCTGGGAGCTGTCACCACTGCATAACTCAGCCTGATATTGGCATCACACTGATGCACACAGCAAACACCCCACAGCAGTGAGAAGCATCCTCGTTCACAAATGTCCTGGCAATAGGGAAAGTCATCTGATGTCTGAGACAGTAACACGCACTTGTCTACAAGCTCCAGTTTCAGGCCTGAAGCCAGGGTGTTCACCAAAGGATCTGAGCCTGAAGAAAGACAAAAA